ACTTAGTCAAGAAAGAAATGAGCGGAGACTTGCAGAATACCGTTTGAGACATTCATCTTCTCCCTCAGTAAGGATTTGTCCCTCTTATGCCATGAAAGGAATCAATTCTGAGTTAAAGCTTCTGAGTTTGCTTTAACTCAGAAGCTTTCCCGACTATCACATTTTCTTTGTCATTCTTCTTTTTTTTAAAAAAATCATTTTCTTAGTCTACTACTTATTCGTGTCTCTGTTCTTGTCTCCTTTTCCTTGTGAATTTTCCATTTTTTTTTTTAACTGAATTAACAAAGGTATTATTTTTGTTGGTGATTTAAGTAGCCTGAATTTTCTTTTTTTCCTTCTAAGAAAAACCCTTCATATTGATTTACAATTGATTTCTAGTTCAAGTGACTTCGTTATATACTCAAAGCATGAAATCCACACTAGCAAACCATATTGTTTGCTATTTTATAAATTTTATGAGACAAACTTCTAATGAGCATTCATGGTACTCACCATCCAAAGCTTGCTGTCGTATTAAGAGCATTTCTGAAACCGCAAGAAAACTCTTTATGGTATTGTGCCATTTCTTTTTTCTTTTGTTTTCTTCTCTCAACTATTCTTCCTTAAAAAAATTACTGTAGGGGAAGGAGTTTCATCTATTTATAATCGGCTCTGACCATATAAAAAATTATTTGCACTATGGATGCCATTCTCATATCTAAGAAGCACGTGAAACGAACTTGAACATCAAAGCTCCTCACTGCTTTATTTGGTTGGATTTAGAATGTAGTTGCTTTGTTTGGTCCTTACTGCTTTATTTGATTTGGAAATTTGAAGAAAAGTTAACTCCTATATCTTAAAATCTATTTTTTGGGTGTGTCAATTGGATAGCACATTCCTACCATGTTTCATCTCTGATAGTATTTTTCCCTGAAAATTATCCAGCTTTCACCTTCTTCGAGTTGTCCGAGGCATTCTGAACAGTGTCATTCCCTGGAAGATAATTCATTCCATCACCCACGAGACAAATCATCAGAATGTGCTGCTGAATCATCTTGTACAGAGTTAGTGATGAAGGTAGATTCCTAGTTTTCATCTTTTCTCGGGGGCTTTTAATTTTGGTAACTGGGATAAAGATAGGAAGGTTTGTATTGATACTAATGCAGGAAGAAAATAAAGCTTAGATCAAATGCATCTAGCAGTAGAAAGTATTTTTATAGTATCTATTGTAGTCTTTTCATATATTTTTGTCTTATATAGGCTATTTAGTAAAATAGATCTAAAAGATAATTTGCTTGTATCTATTGTGTTTTATTTTTCTTTTCCTAGGATGAGTTGGCACCGAACTGTTGGGAGGGTGATGCAACACTGGTTTTTATTGGTACCTTTTTGATGCTACACTTTTGATAGGTCCTAAGGTGGTGACAGCTGACCAACTTATGTCACCTTTCATTGGTCCAAAGGTGGTTGTAACTTCCCAATGCCAACTTGTCATTGGTCCAAGAGTAGTGGCAACAATTGGATCAATTAATTGGCGACTTGCAATTGGTCTTTTCTTTTTTCATTTGCCTTCTTCTATTTAAGGAACTTGATGCAGTCCAAATGGGATGATGATGTGATATAGGACAAATTATGGTTAATTTACTTAAGATCTTGGATATAGAACTCAGATATCATACATAAGAATTCTTAGATGTCATGCCTAAGAATTCTTGAGCATCATATTTAAGGATTTGATTGCTTTACACAACTAAAAAGACAGAGAAAATTCACAAGCATTCTTTAGTGAGTACCTGAACTTATTGAGACTAAAAAGGTTCTTTTAAGAGAGAGATTAGAAACATACCTATAGTGCTTCCTAGGTAATCTTTACCAAATAGGATTAAATTAAGAACATTAGTACTAATATTATTAGAAAATACTAAAATGATCCAACTGACTCATAGCTGAAGCACCACAAAGAAAGTTGAAAACACCACTCATTACAAAGAGGCCAAAGGGTCATTGCATAGCCTAATTGTCATCAATCTGGCCACAACACCTTGCTCTGAACCCTCGATTTGCAAACTCCATGACCAGAAGAGCCTAGCGCTGAAGCACTGACATTTGTCGATGACCAGTGATCAGTAAGTAGACATAAAGCATGCACACACCTTTGAGTGAACTTCTCCATATTGCCTCAATTCTGACCTTTTTAAACCAGGTTTTACCTTGTCGATTATTTTAAACTGGTTTAGGCCTATTCCAAGAAAGCTTTTCACTAGTTGTAAGTTCCAATAAGTCATTCTCTAATGTCCTATTCTGAAAAACTTTAAATATGTGGAATATTGAGGAAGAGAATGAGCTATAATTCACATATGTTAATCTTGATAATGCTTTATTACCCGAAGTTATACACAACTAGACAGTTAAAATAGACGAAGATTTGAAGCATTCTTCGATTTTTCAAAGCTTAATCCTTTGTGTAGGTAAAGGAAAGAAGCCTTTCAGTCATGAGGGTTATGCGAGAACCTTGTTTCATTCTCTGTAGTTGAACGACTTAATTTTTCAATCCAGCTCTTCTGCAAAAACAAGTTGGGATGGACAATATAAATAGGTTGGTAACTCGACAATGTTTAGTTTCTATTCATCATGCTTCTATGATTCAATCTTCTATGATGTAGCTTGTGAAATATTCACACATATTCTTATAGGGTGACATTGGCAGTATAATTGATATGCAGACTACCAATACTTACCGACTTATTTTTGACATGAAGAATGTAGTTTTATGTAATTTTAAAACCTCTCACTACAAGAAGATGCATACATGTCAATGGCCGGAAGAGCTTGCCTTCAAGAGAATGATAAAGAGAGGGAGCTCGTTGGAATTGAGGAACAAAAGATCTGCCATGTCTTCCTAGGAGCAAAGATTTCGAAAATCCTCCAATCTTTCACCTAAAGAGAATTTTATATAAGTTAAGTGCATAGAGGAGCTTGCCAATTGAGAAAATGGAACCTCAACTTAAGGATCATGAGACAACAATTTCACGAGTTGTTGATTTCATTTTATTTTTAGTGCCTTTATGTTTATGATCAATTACATGTCTCCATTGCTTTTGCTCTAGTGAGGATAACCAAGCGTGAAATTTACAAAAAGGTCTTTTGGGATGCTCCAATGTGTTATTGGATACTTCGACACTTCAAAACTCAAAGTGCTCTTCAATCAGGGGAAAATGTTATATAATGGGTTCCAATAGATCTTCAAAATAGCCTTATGGGTAGTCACTGGGTTATTGCTGGATCTGTGAAAGCAGAGCTCCTTGCTTGGGAGAGTCTTACTGCTAAAAACAAGTGTTACAGGCTAATCCCGCTAACAATCTTCTGGATTATCTGGAAAGAAAGAAACAATAGAGTTTTTGAGCGTCTTGAGGTGAATTTTGCTAACATCAAGGACAAATGGTTACATCTTTTTGGTTATATTATTTTAGGACACAACCTTGGTAGTTTGGAAGATTTTGGTTCCATTGTAGATATTTTTACTAATCTGTAAATTACTCACACTTTGTTCATGGGCGGTGCTCCCTTTGCACCTATATCAATACACTCCAAACTTTTATTTCAAAAAAGAAAGATCTTCTGAATAGATTAGGGATTGTATTTCTAGCTAGTGTACAGATTATTATAATAGCATGGCTAAGATTAGGACTTTATTAGTATTGGGGTTCTATTTTAATTAGAAATTTAATGATTTACGATCTAATTTATGTTTTCCTTATTATTAGTATTTCTTTTTTTTTTGGATGAAGCAGTATTAGTATTCCTTAATCATATAATATTTATATTTGTATTAGTGTAATTTTATTTGGGAAAAGTTACTTAGGAAGCAGCGTTAATACTTTCATAATCTCACTTTTGAGAAAGTTAAGTTATTCAATAAAAGTTCTTTGATAAGTTTCTCATTGTTTTTTGGTTGTATGATGCAATCTACCTAAGTGTGATGCTTAAGATTTCTCAAGTGTAATACTTAAAAATCCTAATTATGATATCTAGGTGCACTGCCAAATTTTAATGTAGGCAAATTAATCATAATTTCTCCTACATCATTCTCTAGCCATATTGTTCTCTCACTTAATGAAATAACTTAGACAGGCATTAACAACAAATTCCTTCCAAAAATTAGTTCATTGTAGCATTTGATATATGTTACTTTGCATCAGAATGCAGCTGACTTGGTTGCACTTTCATGTGAGAAGAAAATATCAAAGAAGATAGCTGCCAAATCAACTGAGTCAATAGATTTCAGAAAGATACATAGAGTAATGCCATCTAATGGGCTGTGGAATCACCCTAATCAACTATCTGAAGAGATGGTGAGATGTATGAAAAGTATATTCATTTCTCTGGCAGATTCAGCTATACCATCTAAATCAGCTTCATTGGAGAACCATTGTTCACCTCTATCACCCCGTGAACATCTTTCTAGTTCATTGTGGTGGTCATCATCAGAACGCTCAATGATCTCATCATTGGTGCAAAGCCCTCAAATTGACATGCAGACTAACTCTGAACTTTTGGCATCAGAGAATGTCTTTGACCCCTATAGAGTACGTGGAAAATTAAGTTGGGCAAACATTGGAAACTATGGATTAGCAACTGAAGTTTCTTGGATGTCAGTTGGGAAGAATCAGCTAGAATATGCTTCAGGGGCACTAAGGAGGTTCAGGTAAGATATATAACCATTATGGTTTCATTTTATGCAAAGTTTTAAGATCTGAGTTTATACAATAAAGTATTGAAAATGGCTGCAAAGAATCTAAATATTGTTGCTGAATTTTTATTAGCATTTCTTTGCTATCTAATCTGCTTTGACCTGATTTACTTCCATTTTGTGTATCAGTACAACTTTAATATTACCTTTTCGGAATGGCTTTTTGTATTCTCGTGTCTCTATTTTCCATTTTATCATTTCTTATATTTCCATCTTGTTTTACTTATTTCTTAATTCTATAAGCTACATTCACTATTTACTGCTCCTCTTGTTAATGTAGCATTCACCAAATGCAATGAAGGATCCTCAAAATCTCTGTAAATTTTTAATTCCGTGGCCACTTCATGGAGCCATTGATTCTTTGTTCTGAATTACTCTGATGGATCATAATCCAGCTCTTTTTTTTTCCCTTCTTTTGGGTTTAGACATAAAAATGACCTGGTTCCATGATGGGATTGCTTAATAAAGGTCTGTAGTTAATATTTTATGCAGGTCAGGCAAATGATGTTAAACTCATTGTAGATCTCTTTTTCTCTTTAAAACTATTAAATTATAATTTATGGGCGAGAGCTGATCAGTGTAATTTTGATTGTTACTTTGGAGAAAAGAACACTTGTGGAGCAACTGGCCAGAGTGAATCCTATCCACTTGAACTGCAATGAGAAGCTTGCTTTCTGGATCAACTTGTATAATGCACTGATCATGCATGTGGGTTCCTCTAATTCTTTTACATATGTAGTTTGAGCAGTAAATGAACTGGTCAAATTTATAAAGCATATTGATGATAGTAGAAGAGAAGTTATCATTCACATCACTTCTCTGTTATGTCTAAATTATGGGCAGGCTTACTTGGCCTATGGAGTTCCAAGAAGTGACTTGAAGCTTTTCTCTTTGATGCAAAAGGTTTGTCATCTTGCTTTCAAGATTTAGTTCATTATTGTCCTTAGTACAAAATTAGAAACTACCATTTGACTAACTTATTGACTGAAATTGATAACTGTTTAATATAATTGACGAATCACATAATTGTCACTTCAAATCCCAAGTGTAGATTGATTGAGAAAATTCGTTATTATTTAATTTTCTGTTAACATAACTTTACATGTTTTCTCCAGTGTGAATTTTGTTGTTGGCAGTTTTATTTCCTGTACGAGCCCTACAGGCAAAAGCCAAAAAAGAAAGAGCTCTACATCAGTATATATCCATGCACATAAA